CTCAAAAAGACCGAAAAAAAAAAAGCAAGCAGGACTGAGTGAAGGACACCCCAAAGCAGGTGTGATTTCTCCTGATCTAAGCCACTTTTGCCTTGTCCCCGTGTTGTGTAATATGTTTATGAAACTACTTGGGGTTTTGGTTCCATGCTAAACATGACGTATGTGGTAGAATTATGTGATTAGTTCAGAATGTTCTACTTGATATGGAGGAACACAGTAATTTGAAATCATAGCAGCACAGATGATAAGGCTGTTCTGGGTAAAAGGATGACATCTTTGTCCCTGCCTAAGAGATGCATGGAAATGGGGGGAGGGGATCCTGCCTCTTCTGAAAAATAAAATATTAAAATATATCTTTGTGGACTGGAGAGATGTTTCCAAGGTTAAGAGCACTGGCTGCTCTTGCAGAAGACATGGGTTCAAATCCCAGCACCCAGTTGGCAGCTAACAGCTGCCTGTTGTGATGCCCTCTTCTGACCTCTAAGGACACTGCATAACACGGGTGTGTTTACATACATGCAGGCAGTACATTCATACACACAAAAAAAAAATAATAAAGAAAATATTTTTAAAAACTGCTTCCTGTGTCTTGATTTCAGAATAAAACGTGTGTCCAGACACTGGAGGGGCATGCCCAAAATGTGTCTTGTGCTAGTTTTCATCCTGAGCTGCCTATCATCATCACGGGTTCAGAAGATGGTAAGTTGGCATCTTTGTTTACTTCTGTGCTTGAAATTACTCACTGGATACTTAAACCAAGTGGTGGCACGCATTGCAGTGGGAGGCTTCTAGCAGTGTCCATATCTTGACTAGACTTGTAGACTAAAGATACAGAAGAATGAAGGGGCTTTACCATTATCATCATGCTAGTGTGTTTGTTCCTGTCATTTAAATAAAAGAATATCTAGACATTCTAGAGAAAAGCTGAAAAAGCCTGTGTGTCAGAGTCAGATAGACCTGGGTTCAAATTCAGGCTTTGCAACCTTACAGATGTATGGTTTGGGTAAATTAAAACGTGAGGACACTCTTTTCTACCCAGAATTATATCGAGAGGGAAGGTGAAATCACATACAAAAAAGTATCTGCTACATAGTAAACACTCTACCCAGAAAATCATGTCGTTATTTTACATTTAAAATTACATTTCCTAGTTTTAGTTTCCTAGTTGGAGTTTGCCCCTTATTTCATGTTTCTATTGCTTTATGAAGTAAGTCAGCTAGAGAATATAGATCAGAAAGTCAGGAAATTGCCAGGAAGAACTTTCTATTGAAATAGAAAGACTTCCTAACAGTTTCTTTTGGCTGTTCAGATGTAAACGGAATATTCACATTGTTCTTTTTTCAGGAACTGTGCGTATCTGGCATTCAAGTACCTACCGATTGGAGAGCACATTGAATTACGGAATGGAGAGGGTATGGTGTGTGGCCAGTCTGAGAGGGTCCAACAATGTCGCTCTGGGCTATGATGAAGGGAGCATCATTGTTAAGGTAATTGTACTTTCTTTATTGGATGGACATGGGCACAGCCATTTTTCTTCCAAGTCACAGTTGTGTTAAACTAGCACTTCTTCCATTAACTAGTCAAGATTACACCGTGGCAGTTTGTAGTGGAAGAAAGGAAATAAGACCTCATGAGGGAAAAAAGAGAGTGTGTTTTTGGTTTACTCGTTTTCCTTTTAGTCACTGAGAGGTATTTGCCATTGTTCCAGCTTGGTCGGGAGGAACCTGCCATGTCCATGGATGCCAATGGAAAGATCATTTGGGCCAAGCATTCAGAAGTCCAACAGGCCAACTTAAAAGCAATGGGAGATGCTGAAATTAAAGATGGAGAAAGATTGCCACTGGCTGTGAAGGATATGGGCAGTTGTGAAATATATCCACAGACTATTCAGCACAACCCCAATGGGCGGTAAGCCATCACTAACATCCCTCTCTGAGCATGTGTGTGGTAGAGCAAGAGTATCCATACCCCTAATCATTCCCCCGTGAGTTTTGCCCTGGCTCCACAGTCACACAGTTGCAGGCAGCTGGGTCAGTTGGTGGGGCTGGCTGCAAGGTGCACTGTTTCCTTTTACTTCAGATGCATTGGATTTGTGTCAAAGACCACGTTTTATCCTAAGAGTAGGTGCTCTTCAAGTACGTCTGACTTGTTGCCCTTTAAAAATGTATGTTTTGTTATTTCTATTTTTAGTATATAAATGTATTGCCTGCATGCATGTAAGCATGTCCTGCAATGCCCACAGAAGTCAGAAGAGGGCGTTGGATCCCCTGGAACTGGAGTTATG